GTTAACATTTTATCACACTTTATAGCTCTATCTACATATCTATTTATTTATTTAACTATAATTTTTTTTTTAAAGACAGGGTCTCACTCTGTTGCCCTGCTCACTCTGGAGTGCAGGAATGCAGTGGTGTGATCATAGCTCACTGCAGCCTCAAGCTCCTGGGCTCAAGTGACCCTCTTGCCTCAGTCTCCTGGGTAGTTAGAACTACAGACATGCACCACCACAACTAATTTTTTTGTTTTTTGTAGAGACAGGTTTTTGCTATATTGCCCAGGTTGCTCTTGAACTCCTGGGTCAAGTGATCCTCCTGCCTCAGCCTCCCAAAGTGCTGGGATTAGAGGCCTGAGGCACCACACTGGGCTCCTCCCATTAGTTTTAACAACCACTGATGACTTTTGCCTAACACAATTATTACTATGGTGATTGCCATATGATCATTTTGTAATTTCATCATTTCTTCCGCCTTTATTAACATGAATTCTACTATAAGGAAAAACTTGCTTTCTCTCTCATTATTTATTCATTTCAGTAGGGTCTCAGACTCTTATTTTACTTAGTGGGTTATAATCTGTAACTATCAATGTCTGCATTTTCCCAGGGAGAGCCCCCTCCAGCAGGTTCCTGTGTCCTTTTGCCAGTCTGTCATTTGTTTGTGCACTTCCTTACTTTCTGGCACAGTCAGCTATTCCAGGCTCTGCCATTATGTGTTAACATCTTTAAATGAAATGAGAACTTTTCTTAAGCTTATAAAATATTTATTTAACTCCAATGTTGAAGATTTCATTATGATTAAAACATTTTAAAAAATGGTCACACCTTAGAGAGGTGCATCCTCTCCAAGCCTTTTCCTGTGTAGTGGCTACTCCTAGAAGGATAGTTGGGGATCAGTTTATCAGTTTCCTTTTCATTTGCAGGTGTAGGCGCTTGTGGTGGGCCAGCTATTTGCCTCCGTGGTCTTGCTCTGATACTGTGAGTTCAAAGAATGTGGATGATCCTGCTCTGCCTGTATTCAGTCAGAATAATGTCATTTAAATTGGTATTTAACTTGCCTGTGTCTGCAAAACTGAGTGACTGCAGCCTTCCTGCTGACACTGATTCAGGAGCTCATAAGCCATCTTGTGTCATCTTTGAAAACACAACACACGGAGGATGTAAGTGAAGTGACACCAAGCGCAAAGGACCTGAAGGAAAACAAAAAAAACAAACAAGCATACATACAAACTGTCCCCTTTGGATAAAAACTCCCAGGATGGTTGAAGTAAGTATTACCTTCTTAATATTTACAGGCTAATAAAAAAGGAGTATATAACTGAAATCCAGTTCTCAGCTTTAATCTACAGAGTTGATGGTAAGAACTAAACATGAGCCTGGTTCCAGAGCCTGTACTCATGACCACATTGCCACGTAATTCAGTTCTGGTAGTCTCCTCAGGGTTCAGGAGGAAGACGTCATGCAGTTCGTAGGTCTTCATAGAAGGTGTCAATACTGCACAGCTGATACCCACCCCATCCCCCCTTGAACCTGCTGAGAATCCCAGCTTGCTTGGCCTGGAGCATACTCTCCCTTGAGCTACCAGTGTTTGTTTTTGGCTTTCATTGCCCAGGTCCCTGTCAGTGCTGAGCACTAATCCAGAAGTGTTTTTCTTATCTCTCTGTGCTTTAGACAGCATGTGAGAATCACCCAGAGGAACTTGTTAAAATGAAGATTTCTAGGCCCACCCCCGGGGATTTTGAATATGTCTACAGTGTACCCTAAGAATCTATATTATTAAAAACATTGCCCAATGATATTCTGAGGCAGGGATCAGAAATATGAGGAATGCTGCCTGGGTGACGAGACACATATGACCCATCTCAGGTTCACAGGGGAGGGTAAGAACTTGGGGCTTGTGTGGTTTGGGGGTGAGGGGAGGCATATGTACCTTTCTGTCTGCTTCTACACATTGATGCTGTTACTGCCAATTGTTATTAATTAATGTTATTAATTAATGATTGATGCCATTTATTTTCGATCATTTATTTATTAAGGTATTAATTTGTGTTTTCCTGTAGTTTTTTTCTTTCCCCCACTCCAGTTAGATAGCCAGACCCTTTGTGATCTCTGGTCTTAGGGCACTTAAAGGACAGCATAGAAGCCATTCATAATCTTTGATGAAAGCCTAAACTCACTGAACAGAGTTTTGATGAGTCCTTCAGAAGGGAGAAGCAAGAGCTATGTGGTGGCAATGAGGGAGCAGAGGCTGAGAGGGGACATTCCGAAGTATGGAGAAGTGATAGTGATGTGGCCCTGTTCCCTGGCAGGAATGGTTTCATGGGGCCATCAGGAAAGTGGTCACCCATCTCTGCAACAAAGCTTGGGCCACACCTATTCAAGCACAGCATGGAAATGCACATTCATACACCCATTCACACTTTCACAGGGAGCCATCTAAAGATTAGAGACTCTTCACCATTTGCCAGGCACTGTATCAGGCGCTGGAGATACACAGGTAAATAAAACAATGATCCTGCCCTTATGGACTTTACATTCTAGTGTGGCCCTAGGGAGTTCTAGGAAGCCCCAAATATGATGGGATTAAATTTTCTAACAGCATGGGGAGATGGAGATTTAAGCTAGCTGAGGAAAATAAATGCCGCCTTTCCAGCATACTTGAATTTGTGCTAGCAAATTCTTGTCTGCTACCATCGTAATGGTTGCATTCCCCCTTCATATTTACTGTGTGCCAGGCACTGTAACCGATGTTTTATTTCCTTCAATACTCTTAAAGAACTGTGTTGAGTCGTTTTCCTCATAGAGGATCCACCCACTAACCTGTCCCCCTAAGTATGCATCAGAAGGTAGTGTGCAAATCCTCCCAACTTGAGTTATATTCTTAAACAGATTAATTAATGAATTAATAGGATCCATTTTGTGGGTCTCTCCCTAGCTCCTCTTCCTCTGCCAAGCCTTACATCCTGATGTTTCCTCCAAAATTCTATCTTAGGCCTTCTATTTTTATATCACTATCTTTCTGAGTGAAGGCAATCATTCCCACAGCTTAAATATCATCTGCATGTAAATAAGAAAACTTGCCTCAGTCCCAACTGGTGTGTCCAACATCCCATAAGAAATTCACACTCAACATGTTAAAACTGGAGCTCATTTTCTTTCCAAATTTTCTCTTCCTTCCATAGTCCCTATTTCAGTGAATAATCCCTGCATCCATCCAGGCACCTAAGTCAGAAACTTGGATGTCATTTTGACTCCTCCCTCTTCTTTATGTACCAGATATTATGAGTTATTGCCTTAAATTTTATCTGACCCTTATTCTCCACTCTCATTACCCTAATCTTGGTTCAAATTTTTATCTATTGCTTGAACTATTGCTAAAGTCTTTTTAACTAGCCTCCCCATCTCCAATCTCTATCCTCCACATTAGTGTTGCCAGATCTTTTAAAATGAAAACTTGGTCATTTAATTTTTCACATTAGAAAATTTCTACCCTTCTCTATTGTTTAAACTACAGTAGGATTCCAATTCCCTTGGTATGACATACAAGACCCTTCATGATCCAGCCCAAGTACAACACTCTAGTTCCTCCACCCAATATGCCTTCACCATATGCCTTCCACCCGGCCAGGCTGGAAGCCACAATCCCCTATGGATCATGCTAGTTTAGGTCTCCTGGGTTGCTCATCTTATTCCTCCTCCTGCAATGACCTCCATCTCTTTGTCTACTTAAAGAAAACCTACTCATCTGTGAGCACTCACCACAAAGACAACCTCCTTTCTGAAGCTTTTCTTGCCATCTCCTCACCTCCAGCACTGACAATTTCCTTTTGACAATAACCCATATATATTTCTCATAGCCCTACAGTATTTTGATTACACTCAATTTTACACGTCTTCTCTTTATTAGACTCTAATCTCTTGAGGCTGTGGAGCATATCTTACTGCTTTGAATCCCAAGTGCCTAGCACTGTGCTTGGTGTATAGTTAAGGTGATCATATGACTAGGTTTGTGCCTGTTGACCTGGCTTAATTATTATATTAACTACACCCTCTTTCACTTTCAAAACTGTCTTGGTTTGGCAAATAAATTATATATGCTCATCCTCCACACAGTACATGCTTGGCAAATGTTTGAATGAATAATGTTTTCCTTAATTAGCCCTGGTGGAGCCCTTATTACTACACAACATGTATAGAGATTTTTAAAAAAGGCCAGGGCGTGGTGGCTCACGCCTGTAATCCCAGTACTTTGGGAAGTTGAGGTGGGAGCATCACTTGAGGCCGGGAGTTCAAAACCAGCCTGGGCAGCATAGGGAGATCCCATCTTCGAAAAAAAAAAAAAATTAGCCAGGAGTCCCAGCTACTCGTGAGGCTGAGGCAGGAGGATCGTTTGAGACCTGGAATTCCAGACTGCAGTGAGCTATGATGGCGTCACTTCACTTAAGCCTGGGCGACAGAGCAAGACTTCAACCCTTAGGAAAAAAAAAAAAAAGTTGCTTTAGTTGCTTATAATATCTTTTTTCCTTAGCTTCACTAGAACTAGCCAGCTCCCCTTTCCTCCGTGGCAAGCGTGGGGAGTTGGTCTGGAAGTGATGTCCAACCTTTTCCAGTTATAGTGTGCAAGTAGACTAATAGCCCACACCCTTGCTCCTTAAGACCGCACTGACTCCACTGACTTAGGTTAACATTTCTTCAAGTTACCTTGTGCAACACGGCAGTCAGTCGCCTTTTGGACTTGCTGCATGGTTTCAGTTTGCCATAACTTGTTTAATTTTGCAATCATCAGAAAAATTTCCTGATGTCAATCTTTCAAAAGCTAATAAAAACCAGATGGTCCCGAAGAGGAGGCTGATACAATAACAAAAGTCGTCAAAATTACCGCTTAACCTAGATCGCCTCCCTGTGAAGAATTGTTTTCTTTTGCCCAAAACAAAAATGGCCTCCTTCGGAGTCAATGCCCTTTCCTTCCTGGACCAATCAGAATCTACAGTTCGGAACACAGGCGTCTCACTTCCGCCTGGTCTTCCTGGGTATCTCTAGCTTCTCTCTCGGAGTCGTGATCACACGCTTTTGACTCGGAACTGCTTCCGCGGCTAGGGCGGCGAGGCTTGGAGGTGGCGGGCGGGATGAGTACGGCGCGCGGTGGAGCGGTGCGGACGCTGCGGGTGCCGGGTCTCCACGGCTACGCCGCCGAGTTCTCCCCGTACCTGCCGGGCCGCCTGGCCTGCGCCGCCTCACAGCACTACGGCATCGCGGGTGAGGCCGGGCCGCGCCGCCGGGGCGGGGACAGGGGCCAGCCGAGCCGCAGCTTCTCAAACTCGTGGGAAAGCACTTCCGAGAGTAGATGGTGCCGCGAGTCTACGCCAGGGGGAAGCAGAGGCACTGGCCGGCTGCGCTTTCCTCCTTTAACAAACGTGGGGAGTTGGTCTGGAGATGGTGTCAGTCATCTTTTCGAGTTACAATGTGGGAATAGCATATGGATGTAGCCTAGTAGCCCATGTCCTTGTTCCTTAAGGCCATCCGGACTCCACCGCCGCCTCTCTCTCTCTCAGACATACTCAGGGACACGCCCCCGTGCGGATAGCGGGGGTGAGCCTGTGTGGCCAGTCCGACCGGCCGAACAGCACTTGGAGGACGGTCTGCCGGGTCACTCCATGCCCTACTATCTGGTCCATGTGTATCCCACAGTCTGCATTCGAGCCCTGAGCCAAAAACATGTGGGCTGTCCCTCCTAAGAAGAATGCTCCTGAGCAGACGCTTGGAGTTTCTTCACTATGGCCGTCATGAAATGTGTCAAGTTCTGCCCTCACCTTTTATTGTCTCTTGGAGAATACATATATTTGCAAGCACTTGTTAGAGGTTCAAGTTAATTGTCTCTGGCCGTGGACTAGATGGAAATGCATGTGTCCATTCTAGATTTTGCTTGCTTTTAATGCATAGCCTAGCTATTTACACACTGAAGCAATATGCAACAAGTCATTGCATAATGTCAGTGCTCTGTTGTATTTGGGCCTACAGCAGAAAAAAAAATGATGTGATTTCTAAAATTCGGAGAGAAATACTTGCTTTCTATATTTTCACCATTTGCACTTAGCGATTCCACATTCAGATTTACAGTACTTGCCCAACAGTTAGGTTGAAGACTCATGAGTCTGTAATGATACTTTGGTATTTAAAAAAAAAAATCAGTTATGTTTAGATAGAATTTTCCTCTTGGTCTCTATAAAAATAAATATGACTTTTAAAAAACATTGATCTTTTAGTAAAATAATTCATCTTTGGTAGATAACTGATGCTAATACTGTTTTCAGCATTTCACTGTTAAGTATGTGGTAAATTGTATCAGGCATTTCCACATTCATATTATGTTTTAAAATTCTGTGTGAGATGTGTTTTAGATTTATTGGGGAGGCAAGGTGTTTTAGAAGGTGCACAGTTCCTGGTGTCTGTGAGCTTGCAGTTTCTCATCTGTCAATAGGGATGGTAACACCGACTTGGAAGGTTTGTGTCCCTGGTGACTAGCCTTGGCCACAGAGTAGGCCTGTAAGTATCTCTACTCTCTATTAGGTCTGTATGTGGATTTCAGTCATAGGTGAGATTGTAAGTTGAATATTTAATGATTGAAGCACTATATGGAAAAACAAAAAAAGAACACAATCCTGATCATTTTGTATTCATGGTCCCAATAACTTTTGTGGTAGTAAAATCAGGTACTCAGTTCCTGATACCACCTTGACCTGGTAGGTTACCCTGGTAGGTTCAACTGCATGATCTTGACTTTTTTTCTCTTTAGGCTGTGGAACCTTGCTAATAGTGGATCAAATTGAATCTGGGCTTAGGCTTTTTAGAAGGTAAAGTGTCTCTAATTATTATACTTACATATATTCTCTGTTACTACTAAAGCCTTAATAGAATTAGGTTTTGACTTTTTGATCACTAAAGTATTTTAATTTGCAATATAAAGAGAACTTCAGTATTTGCATAATATAGAACTTATTTTTGCCATTAAGTTATGATTATGCTACTTTTCTTTTAAAGCATACTTCTCAATGTCTTCTATTAGTGTCTTTTCTAAAGCATACCTCTTAGTGTACATTTATAAATTATAAAACTTAAAAAATGTGAACTGGTATACTGTGTGATATTGCCTCTCTTTGCTTTCCTCTTAATATAGTTTAGCTTTACTCATGCAGGAGCTTAGTATCCATTTTGTGAATTATCTAGTGTCTGCTATCCTTTCCATCCCTTCCTGTCTTGCCTGTGGGACTGTTGGACTCATTAACACTCCCATCAGGGTTAGTCAAAGGTAGATAAAATTCTATCAGAAAGTAACTACCTGTTTGTTCATGGCTCAGGTGAAAGATGTATAAGACAGGTTGAAATTATTGTTCTAAATTGACATTTTGAAGTGCTTGCTGGCCCATCCTATAAACCACAAAAAACAATGAGCAGCCTGGTATGGCAGCATGCCCTCACATAAATAGTTACATTTTTGTTGTTGGGAAGCCTAATTTCAATCCAGGTGGGCAGTTTTCTACCTGTATGATATGAGCTGTTCTTTTAACCTTTCTGAAGTTGTTTCTCTATCTATTAAGTACGTGCTCTACTTATCTCCCATAGTTGTGAAGATTACACCAGATAATGTTTGTTAAAATATGTGACAATCTATAAGAAAAAAACTCCATAACTGTAAAATTGTGATGGTTATTCTTTTTGTTTAGCTGCCTATGTAAGTGTTTTTGTTTTTTGTTTTCCTGGTGTAGCTTTGACTGGAATGATGGTTTGTTTGATGTGACCTGGAGTGAGAACAATGAACATGTCCTTGTCACCGGGAGTGGTGATGGGTCGCTGCAGCTCTGGGATACCGCCAAAGCTGCAGGGCCACTGCAGGTCTATAAAGAACACACTCAGGAGGTAGGAGGGGAATCTTTCTGGGCTGACTATTTTTTAGAGTTTGGTTGAAATCCATTTGCGGATGGACACATGGAGAAATGTCTTCAGGGGACCAGTTTAAATGTTAGTGTTCCTTATACATATTAGATGTCACTTATTATTTGATTATTCAAACATAAAGTACCTCTTGGCCTAAGGAGCTGGAAAAGAAAAGAAAAGAAAAGGTCAAGCTTCTCATTAGTCAGAAAAAATGCCTCCAGTAGTGTGTTGTGGCATCATTTTCTCCAGAGAGTCCCATCACTTTCTTTATGCTATAAGAATATGCCTGCCATACAGTGCCTCAAGATAGAAGTAGGTGGACTTTTCGCAAAGACTTCACAAGATTATCTTTAGGGCTTCAGTAAGATTCTTGAGGATTTGCAAAATATAATATATTGGAGCAAGAACATCAAATACTGATTATGAGGCAGAGCTTACTGAAGGAATTTTTATATCTAAATCTGGTTCATGTGTCTAGATTTTGTGTGTATGTGTAGTATAGAAAATAGTTTGGGCTTTAGTCATACCAAAATACGTATATATTTTTTAATGAACATGATGGTAAAGACATTCTCTTTTGGTGTTTTACCTTAAATGTTTTAAAATTTTCCTCAAGGTAGGAGTAGATTCTTCAAATGAAAACTTGCAAATTTACTTTAAATTTGTATCTACTACAGTGCCTGGCCCATAGAAGGCCCTCAATAAATGCTTATTAGATGCAAGAATATTAGTCTTTTGTGATAAAAGATTAGTTATATGAGGAGTCCAGACGTTTTATAGCTGCAACTATTAACAATCAAGATTTCTAAGATTGTTAGTGAGATAATGAAAAATTTTCATTCTCATTTTATTGTGATCGCTCTTTGAATAAATGTAGTTGTAAATTACCATGTTTTCAGAGAATTTCTGAATACTAAGATAACTTTGGTAAAGGAGAAACTTTAGTTTCAGGTTGTTCAAATGCGAGAATGTTCAAAATTCAGACATTTTTGTGGTACCTTCATGATTTTTGACATATTCTTATACTATTTATATAATAATAATTATTATTATAATAATTAATAATTATAACTAACTTAATGGTTTTCTTTTCTTTCTTTTTTAAAAAATATTTTTCTTAGAAGTTTTTTTTTTCCTTAGATTTTTGGTGCCTTTTATTGCTTATCTATATAAATTCTAGGGCAGTAACTAACATCATAAAATAATATATTAGTATCTAGTTAAGTTAAATGGGATATATTGATTTAATGTCTTTCTTTAAAGCAACTTTAAATTGTTACTTCATTTATCCCCAAACAGTAAGATTCATGAAACCATGAGATTAATGGCTACTTTAGAATTATTTTTAATGCATTTTAAAATAAATACATAATAAATAAAATAAGTGTATGTGCCAGTTAAAACTATCTCTTGTACAACTAGTGGTGTATGTACTACTCTTTGGGAAATACTGCTCTACAGTGTCTCTCACAGATGGTCACTTAGTCTTCATCTCAGTGAAAGTGAATTTCACTATCTCACAAGATAACTTATTTGAGTTTCAGATTGCTCTAATGATTAGAAAATTGCTCTTCTTAAGTTCAAATCTGCCTTCTATAGCAACCAGCTGTTGTTCTAATGCTTTTCTCTGCAGTGGTGAGACTAAGTCCAGTCCTTCTTTTCCAGGAGAATCCTTGAAAATAGCCATCATATCCTATTCAGTCTTCCCTCTTCCACACTGTGCATCTGTCATTTCTTCAACCTGTCTTCAGATTACATGGTCTCTACATCTTTCACCCTCCTGGAAACCGTCTTTTGATACTCTCCTGTTTTTCAATGTCCCTTTTAATGTAGTATACCTAATTTATTCCAGAAATGTGATGAGCAGTGCTGAACTTTGTAAGATTTTGTCACCATAATCTTGAGCATCTAATTCTAATAAGGTTACCTAAAACGGTTTTACATTGTCCTCAGCCATGTTGTAGAGTTAGGTTACTTTGTGTCCACTAGTAAAACACTTAGATCTTTGCTATTTTAACTGCTGTTAAACTAGGTTTACTTCATTCTATAATTCTGCAACTAGTTTTTTAAACTGAAGACACATTATTTTTTTTTTTTTATGTTTTATGTGTGTTTGTTTGCAGACTATTATTCTAGGTTGTCCTTTCTCACTTTCTTTTCAAGTGCAACTCTTGGTAAGCATTTATATCAGTTAAGATGCCTTGGATGTTAGTGTCATAGAAAATCCAGCTAAAAGTGACTTCAGTAATCAGTCTGTTATGTCACATATTTCACTTGGTTATGTGAAATAACAAATGAAGATAACCTTTTTTAGATATTTGTTACAGCATCACCCCCACTTCTCGCACCAGTTTCTGTCTCGGTCTGTTTGGGCTGCTATAACAAAGTATTATAGACTGGGTGGCTTATAAACAACAGAAATTTATTTCCCACATTTCTGGAGGCTAGAAGTCCAAGATCAGGGTGCCAGGATGGTTGAGTTCTGATGAGGGCCCTCTTTCAGGTCAAAGACTACTGTCCTCTCATTGTGTCCCCTTGTGGTGGAAAGAAGGTGAGAGAGCTTTTGGAAGTCCCTGATATAAAGATACTAATCCCATTTATGAAGACTCCACTTTCATGATCTAATTACCTCCCAAGGTTCGCCCCCCCCATACCATCACATTGGGGGTTAGGATTTCAACATATGAATTTGAGGGGTCACATTCAGTCCAGTGCATGTATATTCTAAGAAACACTTAAAAAGATTTAAGGTCAAATGAGAGTTTTCAGGAGCTAATAAATATTTGTTGAATAAATTAATAAGTGAATGAACATAGCCAATTTCTATTTTTTTCCACCAGTATGTTCAGAGAAGCTATATCATGACATAGAATAACAAATAATGGGTCATTTTCTCCCATGAAAGAGACTATACAATTAGGATAAACTGCATGGTTCCAGTCAACCTTGGGTTTGAATTCAGCTTTGTAATTTACACCTGCCATGAGACCTTGGATTAAGTTATTTATTTTTCCTAAACCTTAGTTTCTTCTTTTGCAGACTGAATGTATGTCATAGGGTTGTTGTAAGTGCTTGGACCAGAGCCAGCACTGAATAAATATGAGCTATTTTTATTATTTGCTCCTATTATAATAAGGCTAGAAAAACATAAAACAAGTTAGAATTCCTCTAGTTACCCATTTTACCATGTGATAACTATGTGAGAAATGTCCAACAATCAATTTTCAGATTGTCAGATGAAGCAAAAAAGAGAAATCCAACATTTAGATATATTTTAGGCCTTGAGGAATGAAGGTCTTGGTGAAATGAAAAGACATAAAAACATGGTTATTATCTCTGTGCATGGCTGCTAAACTTAGCATCAAAGCAGGCATCAGATTCTTCTCTATGGTATTTAACTGGTGTCTACAGAGGTCATTATGTCTTTTGAGCCCCATAAAATGCCATTGGCTTAGCCTATAGCTAAATGTATAATACAAATGGGAGATTATAAACATTTTTAAAAATTCAGTGAGAAGGAGAAAAAAAGAGAGGGCGAGTTGAGAATTTTGTTTCTCTACTTCGTGACTTACAACACTGTGCTACTAACAGTGAGATATAGTGACTTTAAAGATGATGTAGAATGAATATTTCAATTTCTAATTTTCAGTTCATTCACAATTTTTAAAAATAGTTAAAATTTGTTCTCATTTTCAAATAGCAAGGCGTATCGATGCTGAATTTTTTATAAGATATTTGATCTGTTAAAGTTTTTGAGCATTGCTTATAAAAACTTATTTTTGAATTAAGCAGGCAACTGTTAGTATCCTGTTGTGGAGAAAATGTATTTAATTACATATTTTATAACGAAGATGTGCCATATGGTTGAAATGTTTACTTTACAAAATGAATCAATTGTTTACATTTTGATAATGATAGAAGCTGAAAAGTCTATAATGATGGGTACCAATAAAAATATTAATGCAGAATGACAACCAGTCATGCATGTAACACCAGTGTGAGCCCTTCAGAAATGCATTTATTTTTAAAACTCCACAACAGATTTGTCAACTAAAGGAATATTTTTTTGTCTGTCTTTCTTTTTTGTAAAAAAAGTGAGGAAACAATTGGACTTTATATATTTCTTTTTGCATACTTAGTCATGCTCATTCATTTTTTTTACAATTTAAAATAGCAGTTTAAAGCTTTCCCTCCTAAAAATTGTGATTGTAGAAAAAAATAGTTTATAGTTAGGTGTCAATTGAATCAATTCTTCCTTTTTGGATTTTACTGCCAATAGGATGTAGTATCTGTCATCACTTTTCAATCCTTATGTTTTAAAAGCATTGACTTTGGGTCAGTTGTAGTGGTTCACACCTGTAATCCTAGCACTTTGGGAGGCTGAGGTGGGAGGATCGCTTGAGGTCAGAAGTTCAAGACCAGCCTGAGCAAGAGTGAGACCCCCATCTCTACAAAAAGTAGAAAAATTAGCTGGGCATGGTGTTGTGTTCCTGTAGTCCCAGCTACTTGGGAGGCTGAGGCAGGAGGATCGTTTGAGCCCAGGAGTTTGAGGTTGCTGTGAGCTAAGCTAATGCCATGGCACTCTAGCAAGACTCTGTATCCAAAAAAAAAAAAAATTTTAAAAGTGTGCAAATGCTTGTCTTAACTCAGTGGTTCTTAAACTTTACAACACATTAGCATTTCCTAGGGAGCTTTTAAAAATCTTCATGCTCAGGTCATGATATCTAGGGGCTATAGCCAGGCATCAATATTATTTAAAAATTCCCAGATGATTCCAATGTGCAACAGTATTTGGAAGCCACTCTCTTTTCTTAATAAGCATTTGGTTCTAATGACCTTGATATGTGTGCTATGTAATATTTTGGGTATTGTAGTATTCAAAATGTAAATTTAAAAAATATTTATTATTAAAGGAGTGATTTGATTTACCTTGCAAAGTAAGGTTATTCACAATCCATTTATCTACCTCAAAGATTTCAAAA